CTGATGTTTAACTTTCCAGTCTCAAGACCAGTCTACCCGGTCAGCGCTGGCTCAGGTGCTTGTCATGTGACAAGTCTTGCATTCCATCTCAAGCTCTGTTGTCACCTTTGGTTTGCTTATGTCTGGTGCGCTTGGCCTCCACTTCCTTCCACACAGGAAGGAACCTTCAGTCTGTCAACGGAGGACAAGCTGCTCCATTAGAATAAGATTCCCAATCTCCACTCTGGCTACAAAGTTCCTTTTCCCAGCATCCTCGCTCACTGACCTAACTCCTGTTTTTGTTGTTGTTGTTTGTTTGTTTGTTTGTTTTGTTTTTCAAGACTGTTTCTCTGTGTAGCTTTGGAACCTGTCCTGGTATTCACTCTGCAGAGCAGGCTGGCCTCTGCCTCCCGAGTGCTGGAATTAAAGGTGTGCGCCACCACCACCGGGCTCTCACTCCTGTTTTATGGGAATCATATCTGTCAGCGTTAATCCCACTGGATGAGAATAAGACTACTACCACAATTTTTGTTTTGTTTTGTTTCATTTTTTGAGACAGGGATTTCTCTGTCCCTTTGGCACCTGTACTGGGAATTCGCTCTCTAGACCAGCCTGGCCTTGAACTCACAGAGATCCCCCGTTTTTGCTTCCCAAGTGCTGGGCTTAAAGGCATGCATCACCACTGCCTGGCCCACTACCACAATTTTAAGCCAAATCTGAAGCAAGCTTTAATCAAACACTGGCCAGGCTGATGGACTCTGGCCAAGTCCACTCCAGAGTTCCTCGGAAATGGCTACGTGTCCCATTTTGCTGAGGCTAATAAAGGCTACGTTCTGATTAAGTCCAGTCAGGGACATATTTCCTGCCCACGTACCTCCCATTCATGCATGATCAAGCACATCCGGTGCAGACGGACCAAGTAAATATAGGAAAAAAGGAACTTATTCTTAACTGACTTAACTGCAAACAGAACCCTTAGCCTGCAAGGGGTACTTTTTCCTGCCTTGGTCTTATATCAGGTCTGTGGAAGCCCACAGAAGCGGGTCACCAAAGGTCAGAGAGTTCAAGTCTGTTCTTGCTCCTTCAAGGGTTTGACAGAAGGTTTGACCCAGGGAGTGACTGCCTACAGGATGCTTAGCCTAAGGTGTGGTCACTGCACAGCCCGCCTAAACAAGAGAATGCTTAACTCAGTATATAGTTGCTTGTTGCTTCTGGTATTGAAGAGGTTAATTGTTCTGTTCTTTCATGTTAAAGCAGTCTTTTGCCTTCTTCCCCCCACCCTTTCTCGACTGGATATATAAGCATATGGAAAATAAACACAGGTGAATTCAGAATTCACTGGTTTGCCCTCCTGGATCTATTCCATGTCTCTGTCTATTTCTTTTGTCTATGTGTTCTGTCTGCCTGGCCTTTCTAATCCTCGTGTCCCTAATCCTGGAATGTGTGAACTCTGTCGAGGCTGGACCCTGACACAGGTCCCGGAAGAAACTCAGGACAAATGGCTGACTGTGGTGCCCGCTTAACACACCAGCATGCATGCTGCTGCCTGGCTCTCTCAGTATCACAAGCACCTGTAATAGAGTCCTGGCTCCTCTCAGCACTTTCCATCCCTGCCCTCTCCCTGCCGAGGAACCTGCCAGATACCATTTTAAAGGTAGGAATCATTTTGCTGTATTTTTAAAAATAAGTTTCTATTTACTGTGAGAGTTGAGTAGCCGTTTCCTGGAACCTGACCTTCCACAACCCATGACCTCGATTTATTTTTGAGAATACCCTAGCCCTCCCTACCCCTCCCTGATCCCTCCCTGACCCCTCCTAATCATATGGTGAGTGATCACGTGATGTTTAAGGTGTCTTTTTTGTTTGTTTGTTTTGTTTTGTCTCTTTTCGGTAAAACTACTCATGATTTTACTCCTTAAAAGGGGCCCAAGAGGTGGATTTGGGATTGCATAACCCCTCTTGGGTGTACTCCAATAAAAACCAAGCTTATTTCAAATTCAGATCAAATTGTGGTAGTGGTCTTATTCTCGACGTTGGATTTAACACTGTCTCCAGCCCTGAGCTTGCTTCCTTTCCCCCAGCTTCTGACTCCTATAAAAACCTTCCATTTCACACGCCTTTAATCCCAGCAATTGGGAGGCAGAGGCAGGCGAATCTTTATGAGTTCGAGGTCAGCCTGGTCTATAAGAGCTAGTTCCAGGATGGCTAGGACTGTTACACAAGGAAACCCTATCTCAAAAAAAAAAACCTCCTCCATTTTAGCCCTAGTCCTCTTTGTCTTCCTGGTCCCCTCTCTTGGCTCCTGCTTGCCTCTCTCGTTCCTTTCCTCATTGTCCTCTCCCCTCTCATGGTCCAGTCCTTTCTGCTGATCATGTTCAGTCTAGATTCTTCCAGATGGCTCTGACTGTTCTCTCCTTCATATATACAATAAAAACCTTCTCAGCGGGGCAGTGGAGACACACACCTTTAATCCCAGCACTCGAATCTCTGTGAGAAGCAGGGATCTCTGTGAGTTTGAGGCCAGCCTGGTCTACAGGGTGAGTTCCAGGACAACCAGGGCTACACAGTGGGAGAAAGATAAAACCTCAGTCTCAAGTGGGAGGTATACTAGCATGTAGTCTCTGCACTTCGAAGACTGAGGCAGGAAGAGCACCTTGGGTTCAAGGCCATCCTAGGCTATATGGTGAGACATTGTTTTAATAAAACAAAAAATAAAATTCAGTGTTTACGTCAGCCAATACTTTCAAGTAAGCTACCGTCAACTTTATCGATTTCCAACCACTGTCATTCAGCCAGGCATTGTGACTCACACCTGTAATCCTAGTGTTCAATGGCAGAATCATTGTCACAGATTGGAGGTCACGTAGTGAGTTCTAGGCCAGCCTAGGATACAGAGTGAGCTCCTGTCTCAAACAAGCTGATAGCATCTCAGTGGGTATGGTAGTGATGCACAAATGTTACCCCAAGACTGGAGGGTGAAGGCAGGAAGATTGGGAGTTCAAGGTCATCCTTGGCCACCTAGTAAGTTTGAGGGCAGCCTGGGCTAAGGAGACCGTCCTCCTGCCCTCCCTAAAAAGAACAGATCTGTGGGGTGCTGGGCCAGAGGAGTATGGTTGACCTTGACTGGGCTGAAGCTCAAGACAAAGGAGGCACCAACAGTCTTGGCCCAGGAGCCCAATCATTGCTACTTGTGCTGTAGGCTTCCCAAAGGGTTAAACAAAGAAGTTCTCTCCCAGAACTTAGCTTCTGGCTTCTTGCCTGAGGAAACTGCAGATCAAGCCTCACTAATAATATGTTACTCTCCCTTCCCTCCAACCAACACTGTCCAGCTCTAGGCAACAGGAAGCAGGACACTGTGGTGGGAGGCCAAAGAGCACAGAACAAAAATATCAGAAGGAATGGTAGACATGGGGTTAACAGGTTTATTATTGTAATGTCCTGTCTCTTTAAGAGACAAGCCCCGCCCACTCCCCCTCCATCCCCTGAGGCAGGCTGAGAGGCTGAGCCCCTTCCTTTCTGTCTCTCTCCCTTCTCCCCACCCCTTTCTCTCTCTCTCTCTCTCTCTCTCTCTCTCTCTCTCTCTCTCTCTCTTTTTCTCTCCGCTCTTCTCCCCTCTTCCCTCCATAACCTGTAAGATTTTAGACAATTCTGAAGCCATTTCTGACAATTCCAAACCCTCTCAGCCTCTGTGCCTCAGTGCTTCCCCTCCTCCCCTGGGAACCAAGGACCTAACAGCTACACATGCACGTACTCAGTTCCTGAACAATTACCCATACACATATGTTTTGACTCAGTCCTCTGGGAAACGGGGTCAAAATGACCTCTTACCTCATCTGATCTGACAATAGTTCTCCAGTCAATTATTGGTATTAGCCCTTTTGGAATAAGCCAATCATAATGGTCAGGGAACAACCCCTCTTGTTTCTATGGGGCCTTCTTTAAAAGTAGACTGTACCAGTTAGTCGAGGTCTCTCAGCTTCCCGAATGCTGGGGGACCCTGTCATGACAGAATTAATAAAATCCTCATGCTTTTGCATCGGCTGTAGTGTATGAGGTGGTCTCTGGGGGCGACTCCTCAGTTTGGACGCTAGAGTCCAACAAACCCACTAAATAAATACCCACTTTCTCTGTATTGCTTCCCTAATAGGTCTCTATCTCTCACCCTCTGCATGGCTCCCTGCCTGGACCTGCTAGTCCGCCGTGGTCTCATGGTCCGCTGCCCACTGCTGCCACTCAGGGACCTGCAGTATTTTACTTTTACAATTACAATTATGATTTTAAAATCTATATGATGCCTCTGTGTGTGGAGGGCGGAGGACAGTTGTGTGGAGGGAGATAGCTGTCTCCTTCACCTTGCAGACGGTTCAGGAGAGGAAGGGCTGGATTCTTGGACTTTATGCAGTAAGCAAGCATGTGGGTCCCAGAGATCAAGGCCAGATTGTTAGGGTTGGTAACAAGCGACAAGCACCTTTAACTGCTGAGCTAAAATGTATTTTGTCAGCCGGGCGGCAGAGACACATGCCTTTAATTTCAGCACTTGAGAGGCAGAGGCAGGCAGATCTCTGTGAGATTGAGGCCAGCCTTGTCTACAAGAGTTAGTTCTAGGAGAGGCTCCAAAGCTACAGAGAAACCCTGTCTTGAAAAACAAAACAAAAACAAATGTATTTTGTTTGTGGGGTTTTTGTTTTGTTTTGTTTTGCTTTTGAGACAGGTCTCAAAAGACCTATATGGTTGGCTTTATAATTCACAAAGCTCCACCTGCCTCTGCCTCTCAAGTACTAAGATTAGAAGCCACCGCACTTAGCTAAAATGTTTCTGAGGACCAAGCTGCCTCAAACTCAGCAGTCCCCTGCCTCAGCCTCTTAAGTGTCAGGGTATAAACATGGACTGCCATGTCCAATTTCTGTTTTCTTTTAGGTTCACAGAGTTAGGGAGGCCTACAGACCTTTGCAAAAAGCAAGATTAATAAACAACCCTGGTGTTCACTCACATGAGACCTGTTCCCTCTCCTTTTGCAGAATTTGCATAATAGGCTCATCTAAGGACAAGGAGTCTAGCTCAGGAGTCAAGCATTTGCCTCACATTTTCAAAGCCCTGGATTGGCTCTCTAGTGCCACAAAGAAACAACAAAGGAAGGTGATGTGGTCAAAGGAAGCCGGGCATGATGGTGTATGCCTGTCATCTTACTACCAGGAGACAAGCCTGGTCTGTAAGTTAATCAGAAAAGGGGATGCCTGCCTGTGGAGTCGCTTCTCCTTTAGGGGCTTCCATTTAGGTAAAGCCAGACCCTTGATCACGTCCCAAAAAACAAGTTCCGGATGAGTCTGCGTGAAGGAGAGTGAGTGTGAATTTATTAAGATAAGGGAGACTGAGCACTTTAGCTGTAAATGGAGGTCTTAGAAAATGGAGAGTGCACAGCCGAAGGGCTTTGCATGCAGGATGGACGCATATGTATCTACAGACAGACAGATGGACAGTTTACATTTATGTGTCTGTGTAAATTGTGACTTTTTTGGGGGGAGGGGAACGACAGGGTCTTATGCAGTATAAGCTGGCCTCAAAGTCAAGGATAAAAGGATGACCTGAACTTCTGATCTGCTTACCACCATGTGCTGGGACCTTAGACATTTACTAGAACTAGACTGTGGCTATTTAAGTTACAGTGTCCATAGGATATAATTTACAACAGAGTTTAAAGATTAAGCAAAGCTTAAAAAATAAAAGTTTAATAATTAAGTAAAAATCTGGTTTACTTATTTCTTTTCTCTTAAAGAATTTCCCTTTGTAAACGTGGTTGAAGGGTGGTTTTATGAAGTTTAGAATGAAGGATCACAGAGGAAAGCTAAAATAGTAAAACTCGGGGTTACAAACCTGCTGGCCCTGACTAAGCAGAGTTTGTTGCTGTTTTAACAAGTCCCGGTTTGAAAAAAAATCTTTTGGGAAACACAGATTATCTTTGCAGGCATTCTGGGCATTATCAACATTATCAACTGTGTTCAAATCTCTTGACCTTTGGTCAGCAGGAAAGGTAAATTGGATCCTAGGGTGTCTCTCTTCTTTTGTCCTCTTAACTAGCTGTTCTTGTCTAGAGCGACAACCTATATCCTGTCTCCAAAAACCAAGCAACCAATTAACCAACAACGAAACAGAATAAACAAAAGGAAGGCATGAGGATCAAAAGGGGGCAGTCATGGTGGTGACAATTGTAATCTCACACAGAAAGGAAGCTGAGACAGGAGGATTTTGAGTTCGAGACCCAGCCTTGGAAAAATACTGAAACCCTGTCTGGAAAACAAACAGGGCCCTGCAAGATGGTTCAGCAGATAAAGGAGATTGCCTCTAAGCCTGAGGGCCTGAGTTCCATCCCCAGAATCCACAGGAGGAAGGAGAAAAAGGACTCCTAAAAGTTGTCCTCTGAGATCTACTTGCTCACTCCCCACCCCCAGTCAATACAGATGTAAATAAATATAAACACTTTTAAAAAATCCAAAGTCAGAGTAGGAAGAACTATGCAAGAGACAGAAGACTGAATACTTGGAGCCCTGCAAGAAAGGGTCATAAAGCTGGGCAGTGGTGGCACATGCACCTTTAAGCCCAGCACCTGGGAGGCCGAAGTAGGCGGATCTCTGTGAGTTCGAGGCCAGCCTGGTCTACAAGGGCTGGTTCCAGGACAGGCTCCAAAGCAACAGAGGAACACTGTCTCAAAAAACCAAAAAAAAAAAAAATGGCTCATAAAGCCAAGGGATGGGATGCAGAAGGCAGAAGAGGCAAGGGCATACAGCTTCTGCAAGTGTCTAGAAAGATCCAGGTCTGCCAAGCCTGACTTTAGCTGAGTGAGAAGATTAATCGGGTGTAGATGTAGTCACATCATTTCCAGTCATGTAGTCACATCATTTCCAGTCATGGTCCATTGACATCTCTTACACAGCTGCTCCTGTCTGCAGGAGTGAGGCCATGAACGAAGACATCTGGAGAATGTCTGACCTGCCTCTCTGACAAATCTACCGACTCTTTTTGTTTTGTTTGCTGAGCTGGGGTTTCTCTGTGTAGCTCTGGCTGTCCTGGAACTTGCTCTGTAGACCAGGCTGGCTTTGAACTCACAGAGATCCACCTGCCTCTGCCTCTTGAGTTTTGGAATTAAAGGCGTGCGCCACCACTGCCTGGCCTTTTGGAAGTTTTGAAGGCCTCCCACGACACAGGTTAGGGAAGAAACCTGCTCTGTTAAATGTAAGAGGAGAAAAGAAATAATCTGAACAATTTAGAATTCAGCATATGCTGCCAGTGTGCTATTTTGTTCTGTTTTGTTTTGTTTTTTGAGACAGGGTTTCTTTCTTTTTCCTCCTCCCGCCCCCCACAGGGTTTCTCTGTATAGTCCTGGCTGTCCTGCTTCTGCCTCCCAAGTTGGGATTAAAGGCGTGTGCCACCACTGCCCAGTGTAAGTGCACTTCTAAAGTGAGGACACACATACTCTGTGGGAGCTGCCTTTAGAAACTGCAAGGCTAAGGGAATTATGTAAACAGCAAAGTCAGGGAAGTGATTGACTAATCTGGTTGTAGAATCTGAGAGTAAATTATTCATTTCTGGGCTGGCAGAGCAGAATTGAGCCGCAGGAAGTCCTGGGTACTGACTCTAGGTTTCTCAGAAGGCCTGGACTAAATGCACCCTAGATATGGTGAGGAGCAGGAACAGATAGAGGGTAGAAACAGGAAGAGAGATGGTCTGAGCCAGTCATGGAAGCCATTACATTATGGCATAACCTTTCTTTTCTTTTCTTCCCCTCCCTCCCTCTCTCCCTTACTTTCTTCCCTCCCCCCTTTCCCTCCCACTTCCTCCTTCTTCTGTCTTTCTCTCCCTCTTCTTCTCCTATTTGGAACAGGTCTCACTATGTAACCTTGGCTACCCTGGGACTTGTTATTAATATATAGGCCAGGTTGCCCTTAAACTGTAGCAATCCTCTTTCCTCAGCCTCCAGACTCAGGGTTCCAGGCCTGAGCCACCATGACTGGCTGTGGAGGTCTCCAGAATTTTGTCCGTGTCCTCTGAAGACTTCTTACAGATTGACCTCAGTCCTGCTTCACCAGGAGCCTCACCCAGGAAGACCCGCTGCACAGTCTCAGTGGCCTCCTGAGTTTGAGGAAGGTCTCTCTCAGGTTGAGAAAGGAAGATTTGTAACTTCCATCATAGCACAGGGAAAGCCACACCTCCAGACGTCCCCTGCCTGATGGAGCTGCAGCCGAGCTGAGGAGTAAAGGGGCGGGCTGTTTGTTCCTCACTGCACAGTGTTCGTATTGTTGTAATCATTGTGCAAAGGCGTCTGTCACAGGCATTCTGCTGTAAATATACTGCTTATATAATGTATGTGTTTTTGAGGTTTCTCTGAAGCTTTGGAGCCTGTTCTGGAACTAGCTCTTGTAGACGAGTTCAGGTTGATCTCGAACTCTCAGAGATCTGCCTGCCTCTGTCTCCCAAGTGCATGAGCCACCACTGCCCCGTTGCTTTTTCTTTTCTTTTGGCTTATTATTTTTTTTAAGATTTATTTATTTTTATTATGTATACAACATTCTGCCTCCATGTATGCCCGTGTGACAGAAGAGGGCACCAGATCCCCTTTCAGATGATTGTGAGCCACCATGTGGTTGCTGGGAATTGAACTCAGGACCTCTGGAAGAGCAGCCTGTGCTCTTAACCACTGAGCCATCTCTCCAGCCCTCTTTTTTTTTTTTTTGAGATAGAGTCTCTCTACCTAACTCCAGCTGTCTTAGAATTCACTATATAGATCAGACTGACCTTGAATCTAAAGAGCCCCCCCCCCCTGCCTCTGGCTCCCAGTGCTAAAATTAAAGGTGTGTGCCGCCAAGCTCTACTGATAATTACTTTTTATTGCTTCCAGAACATTGTTTGTGACCTTTGCTCACAAATGAAGTTTAGGCATTAGCTAACAACTTTATTTTTTTTTATTGATTCATTCTTTAATTTATGCTTTTTCAGCTTTATTATTTCAAGGACAAGTTCTCTATGCAGTGAGATTTCTGCTCTGGATGACGGCTGCAGTTATCACCGCGTCTTTGTTGGTCATTTTTATTGTGTTACTTGTATTTTCAATGCTGTCCTGTATGGTTTTTTAAGTAGGGATTTAACTCTTTGGCACTTAAGGCTTACCGTCTCTGGACCACATTTCAATGCTAACATTTAAATCTCTTGGATAATGACTGAGACAGGGACGGTGAGATGACTCAGTGGGTAAAGGTGCTTCCTTGCAGGCCATGAACTCAGGTAGTCACAAATGTGAGGACAACCTGGACTTCACAGCGACCTGGAAAGTCTTGGGGAAAAAAATAATCTCAGCACTTGAAAGACTGATAATTGCAAATGACCCCAGAAGAGACATGAATGGTGACTACTGAGCAAGCAGAGAAAGAGGGACCAATTCAAAATTTACTACAGGAAGAAAGAAAAACAAACATAACAAAAAGAAGCCAGGTGTGGTAGTAGAATTTATAACCCTAGCATCTGGGGAAGCAGAGGGAGAAGGGTCTCTGAAAGTTAAAGGCCAGCCCTGTAGACAAACAGGTAGGCCATTCAGAGTTACAGGTCTCAAAATATACAAAGTAAGGATACGGCCGATCCAAGGGAAGGTTGAGGGGAAGGTTTTCATTGTAGATATGAGGGAGGGTGGAGCCTGAGACACCTGAAAGAGTCTAGAGCATGGAGAGAAAGTCATAGACTGAACATGGCCAGTAGACTGGGAGAGAGGGGTGTAGAGAGAGTGAGAGAGGAAGGGAAGAGAGAGAGCAAAGAGGAGAGAGAGCAGAAAGGGGCTGAGCAAGAGAGCACACACCAGAATGGCAGGGTTATACAGGAATGAGAAGCTGGGGAAGAGAAGCCCATGAGCCGGAGAAATTTAGGGTATGGGGCAGGAGGGGAAGAGCTGAGGGGAGCCAGGATGCCATCATGGACTCTGCAACAGGTACTTGCAATCCTGAGAGAGCTTGGAGGCCGGCAAGTACTTTGGTGTACTAATAGGGACCACAGTTGGCCATGGCTCTGCAGTTTCTTGGATCTGACATTCCAGACTTTTTGTTGATGATATAGGGTGATGTAATCTCTTCTGTAACTCCTTAGCTGAAATTAGGGTGCTATTGTCAGGGTCCAGGAAGGCAGGGATGCTGGTAAAAGGCTAGGAAGAAGTAGGGGGAGGATGGGTACATATGTATGGTCAGGAGATAGATCCATACATGTATATATGTATGTACAGGAAGGGAGGTGGAGATACTGATTCAATTGTAGACATAATGGTATTTGTTTGAATTTGAGGAGTGAGAAAGATAAAGGATTTGAGGACAGGCTCCAGAGCTACAGCTAACCCTGTTTCGAAGAAAAAAAAAAGATAAAGAATTTAAATAGGATAGGATTCTGTCTGTCTTGAACATCTAAGGTGCTGACATCATTAAATGAATGGAGACATAGGATTGTGTGAGGGTTCCTTTGTAGAAGTAAAGCACAGTAGGTTAAAATTTGTTTCTTTTAAAATTACATGTATTTATTGATCTCGTGTGTGTGTGTCTGTGTGTGTGTGTGTGTGTGTACACGTATGTGTTAAAGAACAGCGTGCAGTACCTTTCTATCTTGTGGATCAATTCTGGGGATTGAACTCAGGTCATTAGGTTTAGGAGCAAGTACCTTTCCTCACGGCTAAGTCATGATGCTGGTCCCAGAAATTATTTTCTTGTTCTGAAGAGCTTATGGGTACTGGTTTGGCGTTATCCATCCGGACAGTTCTAAGTCTGTAACACCCGATTCTATGTTACCCTCTTGGTACAGTTCACGAGCCACTGTACCGTCTGCGTGTCGTGCAAGGGCCTGGAGATTGAAAGAACACACGAGAGACCTGGGTCTTTCGAAAGGAGATCAGTTAAATGCAGTTTATTTAACTTTGGGAAAATCCTTATATACCTAGCTGCTGCACAAGGAATTCCCCCCAGGCAGGAGGGAAATTGCCACACCTAAAATGGAGTAAACAATGCCCAGGCGGAGCAGAGGGAGCACTGAAACAAACAGAAACTGTTTGACCAGAAACTGTCCTCTAGACGAACCCCAGGAGCAGGGGTAGACCCTGGCCCTACATAAGTCTGGGGATTATTTCTTAGTATAAAGGCAAGGGATACTCTTGTAATGAGAACAGCATTTTTTTTTTATAGTGCTCAGTCATTAGCACCCCAAACTGAGGCAGTTATTACTTCCCCAGCAGTAAAAGCTTGATTATAGCCCCTGCCTGCTTACTGTGTGAAGGCTCTCAGCTCCTTAAACTTCCACAGGCAATGTGGTATTTATTAATGGTGATTAATCATCATATAGCTCCCTACAAAGACAAGACTATTTACTGAGGGTGCTTGCACAGTTTTTCTGGGCCCTTGGGGCAAGAGAAGAGGACGACTTTCCCGGTGGCCCTGGAGCCTTCCCAAGCCTGAGCTAGCCAGCAGCAAGCGGCTACCATGGCTCTGGGCCTGACCGGCGAAAACGATCCAGCTTCCTTTCTCCTTCAGGGACGCCCCCTACCCCTCCGCCTTCTTGAGGACAGAGGGCGGGCCTGGAGGGGGCGGGCCTGGCATAGGCTCCGCCCCCGCCCCACCCGCGGGGCCGGCTCGTTCCTGGGCCTCGCTCG